TTTACAGCCAGGGTTGCCTATTCCCGCAGCCATACCAAAAGATACTTACAAGATTATTGTGGATTTAAAGAATTGTTTTTACACCATCCCTTTGGCTCCTCAAGATTGTCATAGATTGGCATTTAGTGTTCTGTCTGTTAATTTTAAGGAACACATGAGGAGATACCATTAGAGGGTCCTGCCCCAGGGAATGGCTAATAGTGCAACATTGTGCCAGAAGTTTGTGGCTCAAGCTATACAAGTTATTAGGGATGAATTTCCACAGGTCTGTATTGTTTATTATATGGATGATATTTTGCTTGCCCATAAGAATGAGGAAGTTTTGCTTGCAACATATGGACAGCTACAGCAGAACATTGCCAGAGCAGGGCTAGTAATCACCCCTGAAAAAGTGCAGAGACAGCCGCCTTTTCAGTATTTAGGACATATGTATCCTAAAGAAATTAAGCCTCAAAAATTAGAAATTAGAAAAGATAGCTTGCTATCATTAAATGATTTTCAGGAGTTATTGGGAAATAGTCAATGGTTGCATCCTTTTTAAAAAAGCATCTAGTAAGACTGCTCCCAACTAACAATTTGAGCTTCCGTGGAAAGGCTATCATAAATACCCTTCCCAGAGAGTGAGATCAACAACTAACTTCTCCATGGAGCCCTCAACTAATGCCTGTTGGAAACAGGAGCAAACACCCATACATAAACACTGAGTCGAAGTAGAACCCAGATGCAGATGGAGAGGACAAGACCAGGCTGCAGAAACACACATACAGACAGCTTACCTGAACAAGGAGGAGCTAATGGCCACCAGACTGATAACTGGGAAGCCAGCATGGGACTGACTCAGGCCCCCCTGAATATGGGTCTCAACCAGAAGGACTGAGCAGTCTAAGGGACCTCAGACAGTGAAGCCAGGGATGTATCCCTGGTGCACAAAAGGACTTTGCGAACACATCCCCCATGGAGGGATAATTGCCTTAATTTAGAGACAGGAGAGAAGCCCTAGTCCCTACTTCACATGATCTGTCAGATCTACATGACCCCAACTGGATGGCATTCCCCTACATATGGAATTGGGGTGAGGGGATGGGAGGGGAGGGTGGTTAGAGTGCATGTGAGAGGGCAGAGAGGGTAAAAGGGAGAGAAGGAGGGAGGGAGGGAAGGAGGGAGGGAGAGGGAACTGGGATCGACATGTAAAATAATAAATTAAATTTAAAAAAAATGCTTTGACTCCAAAATTTAAGTTGAAGGACAAGTTACTGGGGAAAAGGATTTCTATTTTTGTTTCCATAGAAAATGAAAAGATGTGGATTCCTTCCAGACTAATGTGGTTTGATCAAGCCAGACCGCCTGAAACAGAATACGAGGTGATCCTATATTCAAAACAGCTGGACAAAGCAGCCTTACAGACTACAGCCAGGATTTCTGAATCTTCTTTGAATCCCCCATGACAGCGCCCCTTACCAGCAGGAAGTAGTTTGGAAAGAACAACGCCCAAATTCCCAAATATTGTCTATAAATGTTTGTTTTCATTTAAATGGACTTTGTTATATAAAATGAATTTTAAAAATTTAAAAAAAAAACAAATTTCATATTGTTTCCCAGAAAAAAAAATCATCTAGTAGAGATTTTCTGAAAGGAGATAGTGATTCCAATTCACATAGAAAGCTAACTAAAGAGGGAGTCAAGTTCTCCCACAGTTAGAGAATGCAATCCAGCATCAGCAGTTATGTATGTTATATTGACTATGCAAAACCATGAGAGGCTTATATGCTTCCAACTTCTGTCTTATGGCAAGGGGGATCATTGTTATGACACTTACCTGTTTCCCCAGCCAAAGTGTTAAATCCTTATTTTGAAGGAGTAGCTTGTACAGAACAGAAATGCTCTATGGAATCTAGGAGATATTTTGGCAGGGAACCAAGTGTAATATCGAACCTATACCAAACAGCAAGTTGATTGGTTATTTCAAAACAGTGATTCATGGGCCATCACTTTTGCTAAATTTTTTGGGAAAAATTGATAATCAGTTTCCAGCTCATTGACTGTTGCAATTTGTGCTGATGCATACTTTTGCATTCCCTAAAACTTTAAGGAGTGTATTTAGTATGGACTGACTCTGCCCTCTTGACACTATCCTATGCCTCTGTCTTTCCATGATTGGCTATAGCTAACCTTTCCCTCATCCACACACACACACCCCACTCAGGAGCAGACCTAGGGCTGATCAGCAGGTTCCAATTACAGCCCCACAAACACCAGTCCACAACAGAGCTACCCTTCTGTGGTCGTTCATTGCAGCAGCCGTGGGAAAACCTTACAAGGATGATGAAAACACAACAGAGAGAAATCATGCCAGCTGTTTCAAGCAGAAAAGTATGAGAGGAGATGAAAGAGGCATGCGACTGCTTACTGAAGAAGAAGGGCTCGCTTTCAGCAGCTGCCTTGGTGTATGGGGGGGGGGTGGTCTTGATCATGAGAGAAGGAGATTCTTCCTGTTCCTGTGAAATTTTGCTATGCTTTCAGAATGAATGCATCCCTACTTTGGCATGGCCTCAGAGACTGGGAAAATATATACTTTTCAGATGAAACTTCCCTCTGATGAACAATCTTTCTTTGGGGTGGACCTACAGCTACTTGGGTTTTTTCTAGGGATTTTACTGGAATTTATATAAGAGTTTGGACTGCAGATGAGATATTTTCACCAAGAAAGCATTTTCAGTGGGCTCCACATTATTTGCAATAATGATTGAAAAAAGAGTGCCACATTTTTCAGGCATAGAGTGCAATCATGTTGGGTTATTACTATAAAGCCAAAATAGCAGAATACAGAGACATACTAGGAGAAATCACATTTCAAGACTGAGTATACTCATCAGAGAATATACTTAGATGCTGTTGTGTTAGATGCTATTATTAGCACTACAAAGGGTTTTGTTTTGTTTTCATAAGAAATTGGAAAGTTGTTTTCAGTCCTGTTTCAACAAATGGATGTACTCCTTCTCAAGAAGGTCAGACATCCATGGTTTGTGCCCATCTCTACTCTCAGGAACCATATTTCTCAGTGAACTGGCCTGACAACAGCTTCTAGCCTCTTGAAAGATTAAAGAATAATCATAGGTAACATCATGCTGTTGACCCCAAGGGAAAATGGATGATGCTGGGTTATGATTAGAACATGTCTCCAAAATGACCAGTAGTGGATAGATTTAGAAAGACCAAGGAAGTGAAGATTGGCAGATTGATCCCAGTCTGTCTCACCACCATAGACAGAACATATGGCAAGGTGGTGAGCTGTTAAGATTCAGATACTGAAATCATAAGCACTAACAAGCAAAGTAGAGAAAAATAAAACATGGCATGGAGTGAAAGGTGGTATTGCTTGCCTTCTGGTAGAAATGGCAATGAAGTCGCCATCTTCCTCATCTTACCTAAAGCGCAGACCCTGGACCCAGAGGGGGAGAGGAGATGTTGATACTGAAGCGTTCACTCTTCTAGAAAATTTCAAATTCCCTAGGCCCTGTTTTCATAGAGCAAAGGTTAACTAACAGAGTCTGGGTATAGCCTGTCATCTGTGGCACCAGGGGAAATCTTATCTACCCAATAAAAGTCTTTATTTTTTTAATGGAGGGAGTTCAGGATTTGTATCACAAAAGGAAAAAAGAGTGGTCTGTTGTTGTAAGAACTGTGAACTTAACTGGAAAAAAAAATGACAAGCTAGAGAATTTTATTCATTGGCAGTTAAGACGCTGTAATTCAGACTCTCATAAGATTCCTTCTTCCAAGGCTATGCTAGGGATGGGGTAAGGGGAGCAGGTCACATTTTGGCTTGATTTGGCAGTGGTTCCACAGAAACACATAGAATTTTAAGAGGTTCCATGGAGAGACTTAAAGAAGAGCTTGTTCCCTGCAGTGTTGGAAGAATAAGCAAGGAAATGCAGGTGCCTTTGGTTCCCATAGAAACACTGAGACAGCATTTCAGGGTAAGAAAAATCTATGACAAGTGAAAAAAAAATACAAACAGTTGTGGAAAGAAGAAAGTGAAGGAATAGCTATTGATAGCTAGCAAGCCAGGTGTTGTGAGGCAACTGGAACTCAATCCTACTATAAAGCCCAGAGCATGCAACTGTTCATTTTCACCCAGTAGTCAGTCCACTGTGGCCTTGAGTGAAGCAAGGAAAGGGAATCCCCAGCCTGGTGTGTGAGATCCCCACACAGGTTAGAAGGGCATTTATGCAGTGAGAAAGCTCAGGGTGGGACCTGGGACTCAGCCAGGACAGAGAGAGTAGCTGGGCATGAAAGTCGATGTCCAAGTAGATACCATGTAGAATAGGGCAGAAGAAAGAAGGAGAATGCCAGGTAGATGTCATGCCAGGAATTGATCTATAGTTAGTGTATTAAAAATGTAGATGTAGGGTTTCCTACTGTCATATAAATAAAAGAAGGATATTGAACTAGAATGATCCATGAAGTGCTGTATGAGATTCTTGGCAGGATGTGAACTTACAGATTTTGGAGTAGATACAAGCATAGGTTTGTACATAGATTTTTATGGACACACAGACATGTGCATCATGACTGTCTCTGTGTTTATACTCATACCTTTAACTTTATATCTGGACAGATGTATATCTTGAACACTGACCACTGCCTGGTCCTAGGAACATGGAGATCCCAACCTCAGTGAGCATAACTGATGCCTGCACTTTGGTTTTCAATGCAGTTCAAATGCATTTTTCACTGACTGCTAAGGATGCGACAATTTTATTTTAAAAACAGAATAATGGATTGGAGATACAACTCATTTGACAGAGTGCTTGCCTAGCATACATGAAGTTCTGGTTTCAACCCCATTATCACAAAAAACTAGGTGTGGTGGCTCACACATGTAATACCAACCTTCAAAAGTAGAGACCCTAGGATCAGAAATTAAAGGTCATTCTTAGCAAATCTGAGGGCCAGCCAGAGCCACAGACTACTTATAAACAACAAAAAGAAAAATATAATAGTAATAATAGTAACATTTATTTTTACCCATTGAATAAAATGAGAAACTGCCACACCATGAAACTACAAATGAAATTATGATAAGGAACAGAGGATTTCAAAATACTTTCTTACAAAGTGTGTTTATTAACTGTGGAGGGCAGAATCACTTTACAATGGAGAAGCTTGACAGACAGGACCTTAGTCAAGTGATGAGAATGAATGTTAGCAATAACATAGCAAGCCAAAGCTGTGAGGTGCCTTTTGAGGGCATAATTGAAAGAACATAATGCTACTTCTGTGTTATTTCTGATAAAGATGAATAACCTCATTTTATTCATGAAGAATCATCAGAGAGACCCAAATAAGGAACATTCTACAAAATAATGGCTTTATGGCCTGCAAAAGAGCCAAAGTTTCTGGAGACTGTTCAGAACGAAGACTACTGCAGAGACAGAGCAACTACACACAAAGGAAAGTCCCCAGAGAACCTCCAGCTCCTACATACATCCTAGACACAATGGGCAGATCTTGAATGCAGACCAAAAATTAGATGGCAATCTTCCAATATGGGTGGAGAGTCATCAGGCCCACCCTTCTTGCCTGTAGGAAATAAGCACCATCCCATGGGGCTAGGAGGTCAATGCAGAAACTAACACAGAAACAGAACACACTTTTTCCTCTGCGTGTCTGCTCTTTTGTAACTTTTAGATATCTCAAAGTTTAAAAATAGAGAGAGCAAAATGAAGAAAGCAACTATCTAATACAGCACACAAGATCACTGGAGAGCAAAGGTTAATGTGTGTGTGTGTGGTCATCACTAAGGTCACTTCTCCACCCCCAGAAAACACAGTGAGGCTATACTCCATTTCTGGATACAAATGTTTATTCTTTACCTCTTATCATTGCTATCGTTTAACAAGTGGCTCCTTTAAAGCCAGTTCCTATTTCACAGAAATTCTGTTCTTCAATAATTCATTGTTAACTGTTCAGTGTTGGGATGGTGATCCTGCAGGCTAGCCTCCACACCCTTACTCCTACCCAGAAAGCTACACCCAATTTGGGGAATGCCAGCCAGACTACCCAAGTCTGCTGAAAAGAGAAAACACTATACTTGATTCAAATTACAAGTTCAGTACTGTACTGTACACAGCCAGCATTACACATGCTTAATGTAATAGGTAAATAATGATACAACAGGTCCCACTTTTAAAGTAAACTGTAACTAGGCAACTACAATGTAAGACTATGAGGCAGCCTTATTTTACTTAAAGTTTAAAAACAAATGTTGCATACACATTGGCTGCTCCAGAAGCCTTAGGCATGCAGACAGGAACTTGGAGGAAATGCTCTGGCTCAGAGCGATCACATGCTGCTTGAGCTTCTGAACCTTCCCAGCTAACCCGTGTTCTAAAGAAGACTATCTGAAAGTGCCAGGGCTGACTTCCAGGATGCACAGCTTCTAGGAAAGGGAACTCTATCTTGACTCCTCTGCACTTCTTCACAGATCTTAGAGACCGAAGGCTCAGTGGCTTCTCCCAACCTTGGGATTATTCCAGCGCTGTCTAGAGTGCTACTCCAAGCTCATGGGAACCATTTCAGTCTATCAAACTCAGAAGCATGGCTGCAGTCTGGAAGCCACCTCCAGAAACTGTAGATTTCAGGCTAAATAGATAATCCATTCTACCCCAGGAGAATGTTTGCCCATTAACCATGGGTTGTTTTGCTTGCTTGCAACTTTAATATGAGCTACAAAAATAGCTACACTTGTGATTAATAGCACCATGAAAACATAGATAAGGATAGAAAACACAATGGCAAAATTAATTTGCTTTTGATTCTGAACAACGTTTCCTACCACTAATATCAACACATTTTAACTGAATTTAAGAAAATAAGATGTCGTTAGAGGAAAAGTACTACTTTGGCAGAGAGACTATGGGAGAATTACTTCCACATTTTTTTTTTTTTTTTGAGCAAGAGAAGGTAAAAAATTGTAGTCTGCAGCCTGCCAAGTAGACATGTGGAAGTATCTTTAAAGGGAAAATTGAAGGCAAGATAAGGCATCTATACCCCTCAAGCAGTGATCACTGGAGTGTAGAAGTTGGAAGAGAATGTTGTGTTGGTACTAATATATGAGTTCAATGTAGTATATACACCAACATCTCAGAAACACAAGAGCTACTGTTATGAAGCATCTCCCTCTACTGTCGGTTCTAGAAAGAATACTGATCCCTACAGCAAGAAAAAGTAATCTGAAAAATGAGGGCAGATGCTGGCCATTGACTGCCTGTGTGCTTTACAGATTAATACCCGTAGCATTTTTGTGAACATGTTGTAGATGTGTTTGTTTTACTGGCCAGTGTGTAGCTAGAAGCAGGTGCAGAGAGTGGGGGATTCTAACCAAGTGATGTCTGTTTGTTGAGTACACATGAGCTGGACCCTCTATAAGAAGGTGTTTGCTTTAGAAGAACTCAGAAATTCCCAGGCAGTCTGTTGAAATTCTGAGGGCCTAGTAGTCACTGATCCAGACAAACAAAATACTCAAAGGAGATTCCTGTAGTCACATCAAATCAGATGCCCCGTGATCCAGAAAATAGAATTTCTCAGTTCAACTTTCAGGAGAACTGGTCAGTGTGGTTCCTCCATAGGTGCCAGAGTACTCCAGATTAAGGTGTCACACCTGTAACAAAAAAATTCCATGTGAGTTGAATTCCCTTTAGCAAGCTTTCTGCTTTTCCCTGTGGTGTGCCCCCACAAGCACATGCACGCATGCACACATGCACACATGCACGTATGCACGGCGCACACACACACACACACACACACACACACACACACACACAATCTCTATGCCTGTGAGGTATATCTGCTGTCCTGGCTACACCAGCATCATAGTCCCACTGCACCTCACTTTGCCTTCCTGCTTTTGACTTTCTCTGAAGACTTGGGAACAGCATTATTCTGAACCTAGTTCAGGAATGAGGGAGAGGTAATGCCCGCTGAAGACAGCTGCCAACTGTAGGAAATGAGGCTGCTGGTTAAGTGTCTCATTTCCCATCCTTCTTATAAATTGTGGGAAGCCTCTGTACACATAGCAGAGGTCCCATTAAGTCAGACCCCCAGAAACAAGTGCCGATACTCTCAACCTTACAATCACCTTTATTCTTGCCTGTCTCTCTTCCCCCTGCCCTTTTGCCACTTCTCCATGGGATTACCACTCCAGTGAATGATTTACACTCAAGAATTCAAACTAAGATAGACCTTAACACAATTATTGCGATGAGGTATGCTGTTGTTTTTGAAGAAGCAAAGTAATCAAACAAAGCTGATAGCAAGTGCCAAAGCTATGACATTAACTATCTGGAAAGGAGCCACAGGCAGTCTGAACTTCAGCCCTGACTATCTACAAAGAGAATAATGACTAACCATAAAGGGTTAGACCCTCTTTCACGCAGTGATCCTGTGACAGTCTATGTGTGTCCCTGAGCCACTAAATGGTAGCCAAACTGTGATAGTTTCTGTTTTTTCCTACCCCATATCATTCCATCCATGGGCACAAGATGTGTAAAATTTCCACAATGAATGCCTCAAGCTCCCTGGATATTCCTCAGAATTGACAGCACCCGCCTCTAACTCTCAATGAACTAGGCAACAGCTTCAACCGAATTTCCATTGCCACCCAATTTGGACATTCTTTACGGCCAAACAACTAAGTATCATCATTAATTCCTCCTCTACCCTGACCCACCACCCCCAACAGCAACCTAAACCTCCCTTCTCAGCCTCTTCTCAAATTCCCATCACCCTCTGGTACCTCACTCAAAAGGTTGTGTTGAAGGATGTCCAATAAATATGCACCATCTGATTTCATGAAAATTACAAAAGGAAGATCTATATATATCTCAATTTGTTTTTTAATTTTAGTTGAAAATTATCTTGAAACAACTGTGACCTATGGATCTTTTTCTATTGTACTAGGGTTTGGACCTAAGTCCTCATGCATAGTAGGCAAGTGTTCTACCAATGAGCTGAACACATACATCTCTACCTCCTGTTCTTCCTAGTCCTCCTCTTCCTCCTCCTCCTTCTCCTTTTCTTTTCTTCTTCGGAGACAAGGATGCATCAAGCGGCTCAGTCTGGCCTGGAGCACTTCATTCTGTAGGTCAGGCTAGGCTTGAATTTCTATGCTGTTACTGCAACCTGGTTTTCCTTTTTTCTTTTTCTTTTCCTTTCTCTACAATCCCTCCCTCTCTCTTTCTCTTTGTTAATTTTGAGACAGGTTCCCATATATCACAGGCTGGCCTCAACTTGTTCTTATGATCCTCCTACCTCCAACTCCTGAGTACTCAGACAATAGTCCATTTTATGGTACTGGGATTAAGTCCAGGACTTCATATATGTTAGATAAGCACTTTACAAACTAAACTACACCCTGGACCCCTAATAATTTATTTTAATAGTAATTTACATGAACTATTTTTAATATACTACAGAATGGATAAACCCAGTTTGTAACCCAGATTTTCACACACACAAAATGCTAAAATTATCCTTAGGAAAAGTTTCCTTTCTTTTAAAATAAAAATAAATAAATTCAAGTCTTAACATAAAGAGCATTCCTCCCTCCCCAAACCCCTGGGGGAATCTATACCTGCAAGTCTAGATTTTTTGTTTGTGTTGACTGCTGCCATGATCATGTATTCACTATTGGGGTCATGCACACTGGATCCATACTTCTGGAAGAGAAAGTTAGAAACATGGTTTATTATCTGCTCTTTCCTACCTTCATGCTTGTTTTCCAAGTGTTTTCTGTCTTTTGTTGAAGTGGTGGGTGACAAAAGTGTAATTTTGGACTTAGGCTCAGTAGAACAACATGCAAATGTTTTCAATTAAAAGTGCTTTCTGAACTATGAGATGGATCAGTAGAAAAAAGCACTTGATGACCTGAGCTCAATCTCCAACACCTAAGTAGTGGAAGGAAAGAATAGCCTAGAGATGTCCTCTCTCTCTCTCTCTCTCTCTCTCTCTCACACACACACACACACACACACACACACACACACTGCAATAATTTTTTTAATGTTTTATGTGTCATTTTCCTCCTCATTTTTGCCTTGATTATTCCTTTCTCAATGGAGTTAGATAATGGATGTTAGGGCATGTTCTACCTCCCCTCTCAAATAGTTCTCTCTCTCTCTCTCTCTCTCTCTCTCTCTCTCTCTCTCTCTCTCTCTCTCTCTCTCTCTCTGTCTGTCTCTCTCTCTCTCATACACAAACACAGAGTCTAACTAATGGTCACTGCAGCAGGCACTTACATGCTATCATATACATAATATACAGACTGGAGTAAGTTCTTTAATTGAGAATCTGTTGTGTAAACAGAATGTTTCACAACAAAAAGATATTTTGTTGTCCCTGTTATATTGCCCTGAACAGCTTTTCTAATCTTTTTCTTAAAAAACAAGGAGTGTGTATGGTGATGGAACACATAAAGAAGCAGTTTCCTTCTTAGCTACTATTGGTAACTAATAAGATAATCTCACTGTTTCACTTTGTCAAGTAAGAGAAACTTATAACTAATTGTTTCCACTTAATCTTGACTCTTAGGAAACTTATATTCAAATCCTATTCCAACATTTAACAACTTTCAACAACCAAAGACATCTATTGTTATATTTTAACCTCCTTCCTAACCTTTATCTGTGACTGGCCCCAATTTTCTATCTTTTTAGGAAAAAAAGTAGTTATAATACTGTATCTCTGTAAGCCTCTGAGCTCTTTTGGGAATGAGGTGAGCTACTAAAAAACAAACAGATAATCTCTGTTCTAAGTCACTAGTTTAATTAGTGTGTAAATTGAGGGGGGGAAGGGAATTGCCTCCCTTTTTCTCAGGTCACTCCTAGTAGAGCATCAGGCACTGGTGAGTAAATGACCACCCAGGAAAGAAAGTGTAAGGCAAAGTAGAAGTTGCTTACCTTTTTTGCAAACCAGAAGATAAATATGCACCCAAAAATGTATACCACAATAAAAACTGAGCATCCTATGGGCAACCAGAGCTTCAGCGGGCAGCAAAGCTGTGATTCTGATTCTGGGGGGGGGGGGGGAGACACATTGATGAAAGACCCGGAAACACATGTCTTCATTCAACGCTGCATAGAGAATGCTTCCCTAAACTGTAAAGCTTTTTAATCAAGAAAGTATTTTCTAACTGACAATGATGGGGGCAGTAGATGGCAATCAGCATCACTGCCACCTTCCAGCAAGGACTCTGAAATCCAAACTGGAAAGACTATGCTAGAGTGCTTACAAATGTGACTAATAGATAAAGACTTTCCATCTGCAGTTTTCACAAGATTAAGTAGGAAAATGCATGGTATAAAAACTGATTTTCAAATCATCACATCTCAATCTCCAAAGCACTTTTTACCTTAAGTGAGTAGAGGTACTATCCATTGAGCCATGAATTGAGTGTTTGAAAAATTAAGCCCTAATTCCAACTCAATGGTATAGGTCACTAAATCACTTCTTCCTGATAAATATGAACTGAATATTAACAACATATCATTCCTCACATATTTCATCCAAGATGATTTGTTGCCAACTACACCTAAAGAATGTAACACAAAAAAAGTACTTATTTGTTTGTTTCTATCGGTGAGAAAAGCCTTGGAAATGTGCATATACTCTTCAGCCCCAACCAATGTCTTACCGTATATATGCAAATATTCTCCAGGAAGAGTATTTTCTTGAAAAGGAGGTGGGTCAAAAATCAACAGGCTACAGAAGTAATAGCTGCTCTGGGAGCTGTCCAGGTTGTTTAGGAAAAAAGAGACACTGTTGTTGGACAACTGATATGGACAGGACTTGGGATTCTTGCTGGACCCAACATTTCCCTTGGTCTTGGTGAACTCACAGAGGACTTCTTCCCCTTTGAACAACTGCATTTTTAGCTGTTGGGTGGTCTCAGGGTACTCGCAAGAAATCTGTATACCTCCATTGTAAAATGAAAACATCTTATGCTTGTCTGAGTCATTGGTTTTTCCTGGTTCAAAAGAAAGAGAACAAAGTAAGTGTGCTGTTTTGTGAACATGTTGCCTTAATAATTATATTTAAGTGGGAATGTGATTAATTTTTATAAAGTCACCTCTATTGATACCAAAATGAAAGATGTCATAGCCAAGCAAACAAACCAGGATATGACAAGGCAAAACTGTGCACTATAAATGGGCTCTTCATGTAATAGTATATAAGATGTACCTGTCAAATAACATGTTTAGATAGTATGACTTAGACAGAAAGGGTCTCCATGCTCTTGCAGGTTCCACACTGGGGCCAGATGCTAAATGGAGAAATGAGTGATGTGCTATAATTTGTGCTAGGAACAAAGTGCTATCAGGGAAAATGTGGTAGGGTTGGATGGTGTATTACATATTCACTAGAGGGTCAGAAAATGCCCCTTTGAAGAAGTGAATTTTAAATCTAAAATTAAAGCGTGATTTTCCTTTATCTGAACAAGACTTGCAAAAAGATGTTATGGAAAAAAATCACTTTTGAAAGTATATAAATTTACTGGGGCTAAAATTAAATGATTATATATAAACAGCATTACATCCTATCACAAAAAAAGTGAAGTAACAAACCAATTGTATTCAAATAGTAGAGTGTCTCCTATGAACCCATTCAATAAGGACCAAATCGGCCCAATGATCAGGAGAGGCCCAGATTTTTGCTCACGTTTTTTCACTCTTTGAGACCTCATGGAGACCTCAGGAGGAGGAGACCAAAATGTTTTTAGCCCAATTGCACATCAACTCCTGGCTTATAGGATCAAGGTATTCTTCTGTTTGTTTGTTTTTAATGACATGTCATTTGTTAATGAAAAGTTTTATGCTGAAATTGTTTGGAAAAAAATACCAGGATGGTAGCTTTTACTTCAGTTGGCAAATTTTTTTTCTTAAGAAGATCAAACAAGTATAAGATAATTTTGAAAAAGTAGGCATCCCCAGTAAACAGAACGTATTTCTATATTTTTTGTTTTTAGTGGTGGGATTTTATGCTCTGCTATCATGATACAATGTCCTCTCATAACAGTTCAGTTTTTTATGTTTACATGATCATTTTTAATGAGCCTTTGTGTTAATCTTTCATGATTTATTAAAACTAAGCACTAAGACAACACCAGAATTATTTCCAGCACTCTGATTTTCTATAAACACCCTCATTTGCCCAAACGTGTCTTGCCATATTATTTCTTTAAAGAAGGAATACAACTTATATACAAAGATTGGCATCATACAAGATGATCTATTTGCCATATCTCTGTTTATGCTTGATGCCTTAACTCCTTTCACACTTCATTAAAATCATTTTATTTGTTTATTCATTTATTTTAGTATCTCTAGCTCTTAGCATATACCTCTCATATTTGTAGGAAACATTTTCAAATTAGAGGCTTGGCTATAAAAAAATAAACAAACGTGTTCCAGCTTCCAAATATGGCAATACTCCTTATTCAACAATAAAACAACAGGAAATAGTAGACAAAATACCTAAAAGTAGCATTGTATTAGATCATTGATCTGAAGAGAATGTAGAACATAAATCAACACCCTGGGACCAGGGACATGAGCAGAGTGGCAGAGAGGCTTTTGCTCTGAGAACATTTATTGTTTTCCCACATTCAAACTTTTGTTTTCATGTTTTATCTCCCACAGTCTGCAAAGCAAGGAAGCTAGGAGATGGTTCTTCAATAAGTTGATTTCCAAAGAATGCTGGAATGATCCTTGGAGTTAAGGGAAGCCTGAGTGAACTGACCCTCATGTCCAGTGTAGGAAAAAAAAAAAAAAATCTTACTCCTGCGGTTTTGCTTAAAGTAATCTCAGACTATCATTACCCTACATTTTCAAAGTAAAAATGCAGCCTATGAGTAGAAAAGATGTTATGAGCAACTTTTGATAAGTGAATGTCTGTAAGTTGTGATTCCTTGCTTAGTCACTAAGAGAGAAGTGTGAAATATCTGAATGAAAGCCACAAATCCACCCGAATGCTTTTGCCTGAAGGGGAGAAGAGAGTTTGAATCAGGAAAGAACATAGGACGCAGAAAGGAGAAAAGTGTCTGTGTGCTGACAATGTTTCATTCTTGGCTTGTGCTAATTGTGGGATGAGGTAGCTTATGTGATTGTTACTCAAAGTTTTCGTTTATTATTTGTTCACGTCTCTGTACCGATGTTTGATCTTACGATTTAGAAGTCTGAAACTATGCAGAAGGAAAAATGATGCTGCTTTCACTTTTTTCTAATACAGAGAAAAGTGTAAGTTAAAGGCAGAGGGGGTGGGAGCAGAGGACACTTGCAAACAAGGTGCGGCTGCATTAGATTCAAGGCGGGGCGGAGCAGGTGGTGGGGAGCGCGTTCTGCATGAGGACGTTTGTCTGTGAGCCCCACACTTTATGTCTGCTGCAGAAGATAAGATCAGTGGACAGCTTCTCAGTTCCTTTAGTATTGTTCAGAGAAAATTTCCCGGAGCCTTTACAATGGCAGCAAGCAAACCACAAAGAGATCCTGGGGCAAAACTGTCTACAGCTACTATATACACACATAACATAAAAAGCCTTGTATGTCACAGCTTCCTGTACTTTGCCCACTCTGTGACCCACAAGCCAGCAGGAGGTGAAAAGTAACTGGAATCGAGGAGCAGTGCTGCTCAAGGAATTCAAGAGCAAATTCTGGTTCTGTCTCGTGGCTGTGCCCAGCTACCCCTGTGGACTTCTCTCTTTTCTTCTGTAAAATAAGAAGTGAAAACAGTGTCTTCAAAGGGTTCTTTCTGGGGAGATGGCTCAGAGGGGAAAGTGCTTATTGCATAAGCATGAAGACTCAGGTTTGGATACACCAAAAGCCTGGCATCTGTAAACCCAGTGCTTCGGGAAGGAAACAGGCAAGGCTCAGGAGCTTTCTGGGAAAACACTAGCCAGAAATGTGAGCTCAGGTGCACCAAGAGACCCTCTGTCCAAACGAAGGGAAAAGGTGACTAATGAAGTCACCATCATAGACTTCGGGCCTCTACATATGCACACACGTAGCACAGGTACTCACATACTCCATGCGCACGCGCGCACACACACACACACACACACACACACACTAACATCTACACAAATGTGTGTACTCACACACTCCTTGCATGTACAAATTGACATCTGGCCTCTCTCTATATATATGCATATACACACATGCACTCACACACTCCAAATACATGCACATACACACAGAGAAAGAGTGATGGGGGGGTCTTTCCAACACTTTCTTTACATTAAGGGTCAGAACACATCCAGAAGAGCCCAAGAGAGACGTGACTTCACTGTCAGGTGAGCCTCCATCAAAGATATCATGTCCCCCCTAATCTTCTCTTACAGAAGAATATTGCAAGAAGTCAGGAAAATGTTAAAGTGAGAGAAACTATCTTTCATTCCTGCAGAAGTATATGGGATGGCTAGGAAGGGTTCTGTGTTTCTTTCATGCAGAACTAAGTTATGTGTCACTAAAGTCAGCTGGGGCCTCCAGAGTGTCATCCATCAAGCATTCATAAATATTCATCCCAACGATCATTCTTAGCCTAAACATATCCTAACTCACCTTTTCATTATTGAACATGGTAATGAGAAGGCTGACTCATGTTTTCACATTTCTTATGTTTAAGTTTTAAACTTGCAGTCTAGAAAAAGCATTTGGCAACTATAAACCTGCAGTTTGAATGTTTGCAACCACAGTAGTTAAACATTTACCTCAAAATCACTTTGCACCTGTAGAACAGATGTGCTAAATCTTCTTCACCTCTAGCTGAATTTTGTATAATAATACAAAGAAAACAGAGCAAAGTAGTGTGGTCTGGAGAGATGGCTCAGTCTGTTAAGAGACTGCCATGTAAGTATGAGGACATGATTTCAGATTCCCCAGCACCCATAAACAAAGGTGAATATGCCAGCCTGCATCTACAACCCCAGGACTGCAAGAAGGCAGTGGGGGGAAACATTCTTGGAACTCATAGACTAAACTATATAGCCAAACACTGTCAATATAGTCAAATCAGTGAGAGTCAGGTTCAGTGAGAGACCTTGTCTCAAAAACTAAAATGAAGAGCACTAGAGCAAGATACTTGTATTAATCTCCAGCCTCAACATGTGTGCATTTACATGTATATAGGCTCAAATACACACACACACACACACAGAGAGAGAGAGAGAGAGAGAGAGAGAGAGAGAGAGAGAGAGAGAGCACAATGGAAAGAGACAGACCAACAAGAGACAAAAGAGTCCCTTATAACAATGAAAAGCATTTAATAGACAAGTGGACAAGTTTAAGGAAAATGTGAGCATACTGGTATCTTACAATTACAGAAGAAGCCAAAGTACTTCTTCTACTCTCTTTAGATATTCTTATTTCCCTGTCTAATACATAATCTGGATTACTGGCATTATAGCAACAACATATATATCAAGAATCTGTTTTGTTTGGTGGGTTGTCAAATCTGTTTCGTTAATTCGTCTGCCACAGAAGTAGTTAAAATTTTAAGTATCCCTCTCACCCATCTCTTTGTTGATTTCTCTCATATTTATGTTTTTTTTCACATACCCAATTAACACAAAAGCTGTCCTCCAAAATGTGACCTCTGCTATTGTTTTTACTGTGTTTATGACTTCTTCTCATACCATCTCAATGCCCAATAAATTCTTATATACATTGTTTTCCCATGTCCTAAACATCCTACAAATACCCTCATCTCATATTCCTTACTTCTGATATACTTCCCAGCAGCACACACATACACAAACATACAGTCATCCATGGTGGACTTACATATAAAGCAACAAGACTACTATGCACAAACAAAGGCTCAAAGGCTCAGCCAGATTTAATTTTCTTCCTTAGGTCACACAACTTCCTGAGTTCACAAAAGAGCATCAGTTCCATCCACACTCGAAGTGCTGCTGGCAACAATCAATGGAATCAGGAAAGTGGTTGCTAAGAGCCAAGCCTTTCAAGACCC